ATTGTTGCCCCATGAATGGTTCTCGACTATATCTTATGTGAATAACGTGCCATAGACATCAAGCCGTCATCGAAATGAAAATGAAATCAAACTATCGCAACAAAGTGGCACGTAACCGAATTAAACCTTGAATTCATAACAACATGCGTTAAAATCTCTTTCAAATTTTCTCACACAAAGTGACACAATATTGAATTCAAACCCGAAACTCTAACAAATAAAACAAAACGGGTAGCCCCAATAGTTTCTCGGTTAGTTTATACACGAATAAACGCGACATCAACATCCAACCTTCATCGAAACTAAATAAAATCTGACAGCCTAACTGAGTTTATATCACTAACTAATCGAACTTATAAACAGGTCACAGGTTTTGCATAAATGTATAAGGAAATATCTAGAAACTTATAAGGAAATGAATACCTAGAAATGTAGAAATAAATGCTGAATCAAGCTTAAAAAAACCAAATGTTGGTGAAATGGTTGATAGAAGTCTCATAAGAGAGTCCAAAAAACCAAATGTTATAAACCAAATATCCAAAGAACCATAGTAGCAATAGAGATAGGAACAAGGGAAACTTACCTTGAGATACGGTGGAGGACGGCGACTGAGGGACAGAGAAAGGAGGGAGGTCGGAGGAACGGCTGAAGGTGGGCGGTTGGAGGGACGGCGGAAGGAGGGCGGTATCGGAGGAACGGCGGAAGGAAGGCGGTATCAGAGGAACGACCGAAGGACAAAGAGAAAAGTGTTACATTTTTGGAGGTTTGTGAATAGAAACGAGTTCTGGAGGGATTCTATTTTTTAATTCTAATTATATGACTTTAGACATCGCTTTTGAGAAGCGCTGGCTAATATGGGCCTTTAGCATCGCTTTTAAGAATTTTTTTTATAAAATTTATATGACTTTAGAAGCGCTGGCTAATGTGGTCCTTTACCAGCGCTTTTTTTAAGCGCTTTCTAAAGCAACCCTTTTAGCAGCGCTTTTCAGAAGCGTTGTCTAAGGTCAGAATTTTAGCAGCGCTTTTACTCATTTTCGTATACAATTTCCATGTTTTACTTTTTAATTTACTTATAGCAACGCTTTTGTATAAAAACGATGTCTAAGGTACGCTGTCTAAAGGCCTTTTTGGCGTAGTGATATAAATAAATACGAAAACTAAGTATTGATGTCTTCATGAAACTTATATATTAAGGCAGTTCATGAACTAAACGAATCGAACTATACATAGCTCAAGTTCAACTCATTTATTTTACGAACTTAATTTTGAGCTCAAATTCGACTCATTTAGTTCATAAACCAAGTCCAATGAATTAATTACCGAATCGAGTCTCGAACTATTTTCGATTTGATTCGGTTCATTGTCATCCCTAAACTTGTATATATGACTAGAATCATAACCAATGATAATAGGAGCAACAACAAACTTTGGATGACGGACTCTTAAATTTTTTCGTTTTTGCTCTAAAAAATTTAGAATATTGTATTTAAAAATGACTTTTTTACTTACAAAAATCACATTCATCATTACCAAGTTCAACCCTCCCTTTAGATTTCCCTTTATGAAAATAAGCAGCAAAAACATATGAAGGAATAAAGAAATTTTTTTTCTCTGAAATCCAGTTGAAGTGAGATTGAGTCTAATTTCTTCTTTCAAGAATTCATTAACAACTAGATCAATATTAAAAAAAAGAGTATTAAGTAAAAAACTGAATCAAGTGATGATGTTCTCTTTCGTCAGTGTATCCTTTAACAACTTTTAATTTAGCCTAATATAATTCTTATATAATCAATTATTTTATTTAAGATCTCTAATAATACTCCAACTTATAGTGTTTTACAAAATTAGATTGAGCATATAAACAATTCAATGGTCTCAAACCTCCTCGACGATGTCATATTTTTTTAGTTCCATGTCTATTAACTAAGGAATTAAATTATTGATTCAAGGAAGAATTTTCTGGTTACTAACATCACATGTTTCTAAAACAAATTTCATGTTTTTATTCATTCTTTTTATTTGTGTGCTTAATAGAAGTATCATCAACATAACTCCATATTTTTTCCTTTTAAAAATTATTTCATTACATAACTATAATAATAGTAATTTTCTCCATTTAGTTGAACACTAATAGATCGAAGAGAATCATCTTTTTCATTAGTCAATCCAATAAGTTATGGAAAAAATTTGATTTTAATCTTAATAATAAGTAAAGAAATAAAAGGAACCATGGCACGCACAATAAATGAGGAAAATTAAAAAGGCACAACCAATCACAATAAGAACAAAAAAGAATTGCACGCAGTAGCAGATAACTGAACAAATGGCAAAATAATTTCCTTTACAAATTAATAAGGGAATTTTTTCTCCCGTCCTTAGATATGAAGAGTCACCCTATAGAAATCTGAAAATGTCCCTCTTAATTTTGGAAGTACATTTTTGAACGTACCGATTTCACACTAAAACACGTTCTAAGTTAGACACGCCTCAATTTAACAAAAAACTAGTTCGAAAGTATATCTCCATACAAATCTCTACGATGATTTTGTTTATTTCACAAGTCAATGAGACACCACAAAATGTTTTAAGTGTGACACACTGAAACAACCGGCTGGACAAATCATCAAGATGAAATCAATGAAGCCGCCATCAAACATTTTTTATCCCATATGAAAAGAAAGGCAAACATTGAGTAAACCTGAGAAGGAAGAAATCACGGTCAAACGACTGAGAGATCGGGTAAGAGAGTCTGTTATGTGAGGGGAATGTATTAACACCCCACACACCCGTAGTACTCTACGGTATCTACTCTTGTTATTCTAATCTAAAGGGTGTGATCAAAGTTTATGTCTAAGGTTTAAAAAAATGCAAAGAGGGAATGCATGCAAAAGAAAAAGAAAATAATGTAGGGAAAATAAAGTTCTGCTTGCCCGGGCCCTACCCCAATGCCTACGTATCCTTTTTGAGGAAACAGAGTTACTGTAGTTCGGCTCACATGTTTTGATTTATTTTGTGTTTTTTAATGAACAATATTAATTTCTCCTTCCCGCTGCAACTCGACCTTTGAAGAGTCACGCGTCAGCACATAAGTGAATTAACATGTCCTTTTGAAAAGTTTTGAGTTACGCCCTCAAGGAAAGATGCCACGTTTGATTGGTTTGTGTTTTAGTGCCTTGAAAAAGGGTTTAAGTGTCATTAGCATGTTTTATGATTTTCTAAGAAAAACAAAGTGTTAGTTTTAAATGCATATGAAAAAAGGCAAGAAAAGAGTCTATAGGAGACTAGCCTATTTCTAAACCTAATGTTATCATACAACGGTGGTCCTAAGGTTTGGATTAACAAAAGGGAAACGTCTACCTAATGTTAGCAGGCATAGTTTTCAACCTAAGTTCTAACTTGCGTCCGAGAGGAACAAGCACATCCTAAGGGAACATGGCATAGAAAGCAAGTGAGTAAACAAGCTTGAAAGAGAACACACATAAAATGGTAAAGAAAATAAGCGAAATTCTTTAGTCAAGGGGAGCGGATCATCCAAGACAAACAAGTGGGAGTGAGATATAAAAGAAGAGAAATGGTTTAGCTAAGGGGAGCGGATCATCCAAAGCAAACAAGCGAGAATAGGATGTAAAAAAATGTGATGTCCAAAGCGTCTGAACACCTAACCAAGATATGAAAGATCGGGGTAGGTGACAGAAGGCAATATGAACAATCACAGAGTTTCAACATCGGCCAATGCAAACTCCCGACAAAGTGTGGGGGTTCGATTGCGAAACCTTTTTCCACTTGACGACTCGATAACAAGAGTAGGCACAACTCTGAAGCATTGTGGTACGTCACGAGATAAGGATGACACAGACGAAATACGAGGGTTGATTGCTAACCTTTTTCGCTCGCCTCCTATTGAGGACTTATTATTTGTAACATATGCAAGCACACATGTAAATACACCTGCAGAATACCTACTTCAAAGATAGAATTTTAGACAAGCACAAGTAGCACGCAAAATGCACATAATATGAAATTGCCCTAAACGGGTATTTAAATAAACCAGAGGGGCTCCTGCCATGATCAGCAACGGAGACCCCCCATCATATATCTCTATCCCTACTTCTCATGGCAAGGAAAGCGGTAAAATCCCTACTTCTCATGATATCTAGGGAGCGATAAAATGCGAGAAATAATAAACCAGAATCAGAATAATACCAAACGAACAAAAGTTCGTAGCACAGCCAACAAAGTAGAGAAACCTGGAAAACTTCGAGTAAGCTTCACCAAGCAATAGAGAAGATTCAGAAATCAAATGCTCATAATAAGCGTCAAAGCATCGTCGATGTGAAAATAAATCACGATCAAAATCTCAAGCATATCCACATATCACACAATAAACTTGCATAAGACTCAGATTTCAACAAGCAAAGGTGAATCACAAATCTCAAGTAATCAGAGATTCCTGATTTAATTCTAAAATCAAATAAAAATCTAACAAATTTTATTGATTTTTATCATTTTTATCATGTGAAGAAAATTCAAACAAATTGAAATGACTAACAAAATCAATAAAAAAAGAATTACAAATAGCAAAAAAAGGCCCAGGAGAGCGTAAGCTGGAATCCTGTAGGTGTGCTGGTGTAATTAGGCGTTGAAGGCCCATCATGAAAGTCCAGAATCTATTTTTTTGTTCAATTGCTAACCTAGTGTCAGAAAACGAATGTGCTTAGGAAATGGTGGTTGAATAGAAACAGGCGGTAGGCCCATCCTGCAATGACCAATAAGTCTTTTTGTTAAGCCAGCTTCAATTTCCAGAAGAAAAAAAATGGTGACGGGCCTAGGGGTGATGCAATTCAGCCCATCCATCCATCCAACACAGTCCAACATTATTTTTTTTAATGACTAAGGGTTTTTGAACAAAAAATGGGGCGGTGTGTATAGAGAGAAGAATTAGGGTTAATATTTGTGACCCTTCATCTTATCCAAGAGAACTCATTTCCTCTCTTCCAAGCTCAGACGGAACGATCTCTCTTCTCACTCTCAATGCATTCGCTTCTTCTTCTTCCTTGACACCACCGTAGAACTCTCGGTTCAACCTCCAATTCTCCTCTCAATGGCGCGAGGACTACCTCGATATCAGCTTCTCTGATCCATAAATCCAAACGCGTTGTCCTTAGCTTCGTTTCTGTCTTCCTCTTCATTTTCACACTGTTCAAATGAAAGCACCGCCACACCGGATACGATTATCAGATTTTATCAATTCCGTCTAACTTTGAGGATCGAAAGATTAGGGATACTGAACCCTAGATTCACTAATCCGTGAAAATTGTGTGAGAAGGTGGTGAATCAACCTCTAAATCGACGCCACGCTAAAAGGATACGGTGCCTACCTCAAAACGGCAATGACGGATAAGCGTTTGGGATTCACACATCCAGGTATTCTTTGGAATTCGTTACTTCTCTTCTTCTGTGATTACATTTCTTCTGAAATTCTTCTTTTTCTGCGAACTAAACTATTGTTGTTATTCTTGCGTTTATGAAGGTTGCGGAATCATTAATGAAGACATGAGAGGAAGCAGATTCTTGCGTTGAAGATTAATATGTGATGAGGAAGATGATGAGAAAGCTATTGTGTTGTATGCGTTCTGAAGTTATAGACACAGGGAGAGATATGAGAAAGAGTAGAACCTCGCATGTTGAAGCAGGTTGTTGAGAGTTTGATGAAGATTGATTTGATGAAGATTGAAGATTGATGCGATGAAGATGAAGTTGTGAGAACATAATCGTGGTTACAGAGGGAGAACATTTAGTTTGAAGGTGAAAGATTGATGGTGTGGTTTAAAGATTGGTGATGATAATGGAGAAAACTCAAAGAATATAAAGAGACTTTTTGATACTTTTCTGGTGACTCTTCTGTAGAAATTGAAGAATGAAGATGAGAGGAGAAGAGATAATTTTTGATGTGATTCTTCTGCAAGTTCCAGAATGAGACGATTGAGAGGTAATTCTGTTTTTATTCTGTTAGCAAACAGTTAGAGCCTTTGAATCTGTTAGCTGTTAGTTTGAAAGTTAGTTAGGATTTGAAAGAAATCAGGGTTGTTAGATCTTGATTTATGTTAGGAGAATGAGTGGTTAGAATTAATCAGATTGAGAGACGGTTATATCCTCAAATTTCTGTTATGGCAGTTGTGTTATTCTGTTAGATATGGATGAGTTGGCTAATTAGAATCCAAACTGGAACTCTTTTTAAAATTTCTTTTCTAAACCATTTATGTTATGTACTTGACTGAGTGAACTGGACAATGAGACTAAGTTTCCCAACTTTGGTTGCAAAATTATTGGTTTCATATTTTCTACATTTTTCTAAATCCTGGATGTATTTCTATTCCATATGCACGGACTGATTGATCTTGTTTTGTGAGATTTTCATCAGCTTCACAATAGTAGCAGTTATGTTAATGTTAAGCTCATGCCCGTGTGGAAGCTGGTATGATACTGATGTGAGTCTATTTTAGCACTGTAATGATGTGAGCTTGATAAGTGTGCAGGTTTTTTGTGTTCAAGATCTTTGTCCATGAAGAAAGAAAATGGAAAGGACCTTGAAGTGTGTTGGAAGATTGGTTTGACGCGGGTTTCCATAGGCATGGTTCACGAAGGTGATCAATGGAACTTAGTCTTAGGTTTTCATTTATGTATTTTTTCTTTGGAATGTAATATGAATGTCATGGTTACAAGTGTAAATGAATATGGCCTTTGTCTTCTTTCTTTGGATTGAATATGACTTGTAATGAAAATTGATCGCAAAATGTCTTTATTTAAAATTAGAATAGAACTTGCACATTTCGAATGGAATTGAGTCCATGGATGGAATCTTTAGTTGAATGAATGGACTTGTGAACTTGCTTGAATTTTGAACGTATTTTGAATGACTTCGTGCTATTGAATGCTGGAACAACTTTAAATCAAAATTGAGTCATTTAGTCTTGAAATAAAGTTGAAACATGATGAATTATGCTGGAGATTAGACTCTTCGATCTTTGTAAGCCTTAAGCAGTGTTGATTCATTTGACTACATGTAAATCATTTCGAATTCATGGTGTGAGTCCATATCACTTCCAATTCAAACCAAACTTGCATAATGAGCCAAAAGTACCGAATGATGATGAATCCATAAGTTGACTTGTAATATGACTTTTACCCTTTTAGCGATTCAAACCACAAGCCATATTAACTTGAAAACCAACAAAAATTTATACCCTTCAGGAAATCCTTTGACTCAGATGAAACTAGAAGCCTAGAAAGACATCCATGTGATAAAACCCTAATTTCATGAGATACATAGGGAAATAAACCATAATCTCTAGAACTGATGAAACTGGGTGGAGAATGGCCTTATAGCTTGACGAAGAAGAAATTCTTAATGACCACATACCACAACCCTAATTCCACTGCTCATTGCTTGAAGAAGAAATCAGCCTTTATTGGATACGAACGCCTTAACCATTGTAAAAAACCTAATATTGCATGACCACTAAACTTTGAACCTCATGCGCTTTATTGAATGCATTATGTTAATGACCTAATGGGATGTATGCAGATGAATGCAAAAACCTAAACCAAATAATAGAAATGGGGAAGGAGAATTTTGGGGTGCAACAGCTGCCCCTATTTAACCGTCTTAAACCCAAATGTGAGATTGGCGCCAGCCTTTCAAACTTTCAAGGTGGAAGAAGATTAAATACTAAAAGAACCTAAAAAATTACACTCCGAAGCCAGTTAGGTATTATTATATTTTTTGGCTTCCTGTATTTTTTTGCTCTTTTTTTTTTGTTACAATAGTTATCTGGGTAAATCTCTTGGATGTCAGGTCAAGGTTAGACATACAAGACAAAGATGATATTCTCAAGAAATAGATCCACTACAGTGGACTCTAACGAAGATATCTAACAAGAAAGAGATCTAATAATGCGGACTCAATCGAAGATTTCTGGAAAATATGGGATCTCACAGTGATTTCACCCAAAGATAACAGAGATTGATAAGACCTAACACATCGAATTCAACCGAAGATATCGGGAAAAGATGGAATCTCACAGTGATTTCATCTAAAGATAACAGAGATGGGAGAGACCTAACACAGTGGACTCGACCGAAGATATCAAGGGATGAAAGAGATCTAACAAAGCGATCTCGACCAGATATATCAAGGAAGGAAGAAATCTAACGCATCGATTTCAACCAAAGATATCAAAGATGGGAGAGACCTAACACATCAGACTCAACCGAAGATATCGAAGATGGAAGAGATCTAATAAAGCGATCCAGAGCAGAGATTTCAAGGGAGGAAGAAATCTAACACAACGATTTCAACCAAAGATATCAAAGATGGGAGAGACCTAACACAATGGACTCAACCTAAGATATCGAAGATGAAAGAGATATAACAAAGCGATCTCGACCAAATATATCAAGAAAGGAAGAAATCCAACGCAGTAATTTCAACCAAAGATATCAAATATGGGAGAGACCTAACACAACAGACTCAACTGAAGATATCAAGGATACATGTCTGGATTTGGTAGAAGATATAAAATATGAGAGAGGCCGGAGAAAAGGACTCTAACCAAAGATATCACAACTATATGCTCAGAGTTAGTAGCGAACACATACGAAGAAGGCTGGAGGAAAGGAGTATGTCGGAGATATCGGGAATATACGTCCAGAGGAAAGGACATATACAAGGAGAGAAGTCGGAGGAAAGGACTTTATCCCAAGGATATCATGAATATACGTCCGGAAGAAAGGATACGTAGCAGGAAAGAGGCCAGAAGAAAGGACTCTTTACAAAGATATCACAAATGTATGTTCGGAATTGGTAGTGAACATATACGAAGAAAGATATTGAAAATACATCTTCAGGGTCGGTAGAGAACATATAACAAGAAAGAGACCGGAGGAAAGGACTCTTTACAAAGATGTTGCAAATATATGTTCGGAGGAAAGGACACACAACAAGAATAGACCGAAGGAAAGGTCTAAACAAAGATATCGCAAATATATGTCTAGAGAAAAGGACACACAACAAGAATAGACGGGAGGAAAGGTCTAAACAAAGATAGGAGACGATCAAAACATAATCTAACCGGAGGCGTTAGCTAAGCTAACAGATGGTAAACCCGATCAAAACGGATATACCAGAAAAAAGGAACTAATCAAAACAAAAAGTAAACAAGGAAAGGAGATGATCAAAACATAACCTAACCAGAAATGTTAGCTAAGAACAAAAGGTAAACCTGATCCAAACGGATAAACCAGGAAGAAGGAACTCATCAAAACAAAACCTAAACAAGGAAAGGAGATGATCGAAACATAACCTAACCGGAGGCGTTAGCTAAGCTAACAGATGGTAAACCCGATCCAAACAGATAGACCAGAAATAAGGAACTGGTCAAAACAATACCTAAACAAGAAAAGGATATGATCAAAACATAACATAACCAGAAATGTTAGCTAAGATAACAAAAGGTAAACCCGATCCAAATGGATAAACCAGAGAAAAATAACTAATTAAAACAGATCCTAACACAATGGACTCGATCGAAGGATACCAAGGGATGGAAAATCATGATGGGATCACCGGGTGAAGGTGAAACTTAACCAACGGAAAGTACACCGGGCGAAGGCGGACTTAACAAACCGAAAGAATGTCGAGCGAAGACAAACTTAATAAAGGAAAGGTCATCGGGAAAAGGTGAAACTTAACCAACGGAAAGTACACCGGCGAAGGTGGACTTAATCAGATAAAAGAATCTCGGGCAAAGATAAACTTTACCAAAAAAAGGAACATCGGGCGAAGATGAACCTAACCAACAAAAAGTACACCGGACAAATATGGACATAACCAGATAAAAGAATGTAGGGCGAAGACAAACTTTACCAAAGAAAGGGACATCAGGAAAAGATGAACCCAACAAACGGAAAGTACACCGGGTGAAGGTGGACTTAACCAGATAAAAGAATGTCGGGCAAAGACAAACTTTACCAAAGAAAGGAACATCGGGCGAAAATGAACCCAACAAATGGAAAGTACACCGGGCGAAGGTGGACTTAACCAAATAGAAAGAATGACGAGAGAAGGAAAATTTACTGAGGAAGGAGCATCGGGAGAAGGTGAAACTAACAAATGGAAGAGATTTTGGAAGAAGGTAACCCTTACCGAACAGAAGAAACGTCGGGAGAAGGCGAGATTACTGGGGATAAAATATACATGTCTGGTAAAATTACACATATATAAGCAAGAGACCGACCAAAGCAGACTCCAACAAGAGTGTTAATTAAGCTAACAGAAGGAAAACACGACCAACACAGATAAACCAAAGACAAGGAATCGACTAAGCAGAACCTACAAAGAGCACCGATCGAAGGTGAACTCAACAAGAGAAAGATACCAGCCGAAGGAGACTCTAACAAGGATTTCCAAATCAGGTTGGGCTTTAAAAGAAAGGTTGCGAATATGCAAGAATCACAATATCCCTCTGGCCAAAAGCGGGGTGTAATTCTTCAAGGGTGGCAATTATCTGAATTACCATACACCAAGTATGGATACTCAAATACTTGAGAAATAAGAAAAGTTATACATTGACTCTTACTCGCACTCTAACGGTAAAATAAACATGGTTAAAATAACTGAAGACTTGAAAGGGCAAGAGGAAACCACAACTTGTTGGGGAAATGGTAAATACCAAAGACCCGACTGGTGGTAAACCAAATAAAACTCCACTGGGGAACAACTCAAATCTGCGTGCATAGTAATATGGCTACTGCAAGTAAACACAATTGGCTTATACTTATGCATGTTTGAATTTTTCTTTTATTTTTGTAGATGCAATGTAATGATGCATGTTTAGCGATGCACTGGGAAACACAACAATAATCGACTGCTGAAAAGACAATGAACTTCCGAACAATTATTTTTGAACATCTGAATTTCTATAGAGAAAAAAATCCCTCTGAACTTCAATGAGGAATCAAGATTCGGAACTATCAACTTCTGAAGATCGATATCATTGGGGAAGAAACTTCCTGGAGATAATACTGCAAAAATACATTGTAGTTTAGAGAACATCTTGAATTCTGATCAAACTCCCAACTTCCTGGAGAACAAATTCTTTATCTTCTTTTAGAAAGAGGAGAGTTTCGTTGGGGATGGAAACTTTATGGCGTAGAATTTATTGACGAAGATAACTTCTACTGGAGAGTATAGAAATTATTTTAAAAAAAGAATTCTACTTAGACCACACTGGGGATAACACCGTCGGGGTAAAAAATCTTCACTTGGGGAAGAAACAAACGTCCTGGGATAGAAACTCCACTAGATATATCTCAATAAAATATTCTATCACTGGGGATGAAAGAGTTATGACTGACATTCCCATGCACACCATAGTGGAGAAACACGACACTTGCTCCACTAGAGAAAGAAACTTGTTCCACTGGGGAAAGAAAACTTGCTCCACTGGGGAATAATAGATAAGTTACTCTGGTAGGTCTTTGAAATTCAAATTCGACTGGGGATAAAGACTACCTTTTACACTGGGGCGCAAAAAAAATTTAGATGGTAACATCAATAATATCCATTACATTGGGGTATCCATCTCTGCAAGATTCAAGACGACACGTATTTTTGTACTGGGGAGCAGAAACCACTTCATTGGGGATGATAGTCGTCCTCATGAGGATACAAACTGGGATCTCCCATATATAATCAGGAATCTC